TTTGCGTATTGTGTAATCGTTAATTTGTGTGATAAGATCGAAAGGGAAATTGGAAATTAAATAGGACCCACGTTCGGTGCGTTTCATAGTTGTGGAGTGCTACATGAAGGAGTTCGGAGCCTCGAAGGATGAAGCAATTGAATTTCTGCGAAAGGAGATTTCAAAGGCTTGGAAAGATATTGCTGAAGAGTACTGTTAGAAACTAACTTTTTTGTTTGCCAGTAGCTCTCACGTATCGTCTCCTTACTTCACCAATGCGCACCTTCAGTCAATGTGTCATAGCTCATATGAGAATGGTGATTACTTCACTAACTCCTGCCTTTTGGAAGGATCACCTTGCTTCATTGTGCATTGATCTCGTGAATCCGGGAATCCGAACTCGCTCACGAATCAAAATACGCAGCTCTCACTTTTTAGGGGTTTTCCAGGATTTTCTCAAGAACACAAAAATAAAAGGATAGGATGAAAAATGATTGTCATGCAACTTCAACACACGGGAAGAGGCTCAAACAATATCAGGGTAGATGCCCGACCAAGACCAAGGGGAATACTTGATCGATACAGAGCTCAACGAGTTTGAAATCCACCAAACTCACATTCAAGAGTAAACACTCAAGAACAAAAGGGTTTTTCTATTCCTCAACGTCTGCCTTCCCATAGGAGATTCCTCCTCTATTTATAGAGGTTCCAAAACAATGTATCTACCCTTCTTTAAATCTTAAAAATCATTTCCTATCAAATAAGGAATGTCAATAGCAAAAGGGAAAGGAAATAAACTAATAATCCATCCAAAAGAGAAAGGAAATAAAGCAAAGATCCGCCCAAAAAGGAAAAAAAATAAATCAAGAATCCGCCAAAAGCAACGACTTAGTTATTTATCAAGTAATTCCTTTCTTCCTTCTGCTACTGGGAATCACAATTGCCAAGCAAGAATCATGCACACGTGAATTGAGCAGTTTGCTTGAGCTGCTTCATCCATCTTAAACGCTCCTAGTTGATCTTTGTACCTGCACACTCGAACCTTCAGTTTAGGGCCACGGGAATTGAATATCGTACTAATCAATATCACATCATTATCTTTGATCTGCTAAATTTCCCATACAGGTTGCATAGTTCCTTACATATACATGTATATCAATTCATTTAACATATCTTAACTAGTTAGAAGACGAAGTGGAGGAATGGGAATCTATCCTTTCACTTCATGACGAACGTATCTGAGCTAGAACTCAAGCCCCCTAGCTAGTGGCTAGTGGAGCTAGAGGAGGTTAGTAGGAGTTGCTGATTTTTTTATAGGATCATATAGATTATTTTGTTGTTATTTAGGTACTAGTTAAGATATTTGAACCTGTACGTTAAATGCTATTGATATTACCATAGATCAACCCCGGTTAGTAGGAGTAGCTGATTAGCTTGGAGTTCCTCTATGAATTGAAGCATCGGACCCCATCCCACAATGCAGATAACATAACTTGCTCCAGGAATACAACAATGCAGATTACAAGAAATCCAAAATCTTTTCTCAATTCACTACAACAATAATGGTTTTCGCAACAAAAATAAATAGTCACTTAAAGCAGAAAATTGATCACTAATACTTTTCCACAACCGAATAATTTTGGTAGCCAAAATGGTCGTTATAGCCGCATACGCATTACTGATTCATACTGCAACTAACACGCTAATTGATCGCCAAAGATGAGGATATGGGCCTATGGCAACCAATTACAGTCTAGCATTTTAGTTACCTTTTTGGTCGGCATAGTTCTGATATGTTGGGTGGCTATGCATGGACTGTGATGGTGATTCTTTCGTAACCTTTTAGCGTCGTCTTTTTCAGAGTAAGAAGAGTGAGTCCTTGGCGCTGATTGTTTGATGCAGGTTGTGGCAGTGCTTTGGCTTATATGGCATGCGCGTAACTGGGTAGTCTTTGATTTTACTCAATTAACTATTCTTGTTCTTTTTCAATATCGTTTGCACAGGGTGCAGAGTGAGAAGCCTTGTCGAGTCACATGGTGGATAACTTTGGACGATCGTGGTTAGTAAGGTGATGGGGGTGGCAGTCCGATCTCGAGTCAGTGGGTTGTGTTGGTAGATGGTGTGTCCCGTGGGGCGGGGGGTTGGGTTTTGCAGAGTCTATCGGGTGTGATCGTCGCGACTGGGGCAAAGTTTTATGATTTTATTTCGGACACTCCTACGTCCACTTCCTGAAACTTCAACCTCCACCTCCTCTTCATGATCATCGTCGTCCGACTCTTCACCTGGCAACTCTACATCTTCGGCTGCTTCTATGCCAGCAACTCCTCCTGCAGTTGCTGTCCCTCGTCGCTCTACTATCAACCATGTTGTTCTAATATTTTCTTCTAGTGATACAGTTTATGAGGAGCCTTTTGATTTGGTGCATACTGATCTATGGGGACCATCTCCGGTTACTTCTCGATTGGGGTTTAGATACTTTGCTCTGTTTATTGATCATACATCTCGATTTACTTGGATTTATTTTCTGAAACAGAAATCTGAATTAACAGTTGTAGCTCGAGAATTTATTCAAATGATCAAGACAAAGTTTGGTAAGACTATTTAGGCACATCGATCGGATCCAGGAGGTGAATTTGTGGCCAATGATCTATTTACCGTGATTAAAACAGAGGGCATTCTACCACAACAGTCGTGTCCAGGAGTATCCCAACATAATGGGGTCGTTGAGAGGAAAAATCATCATGTCTTAGAACTAACTCGGGCGATTTTATTTGCCTCTCGTGTTCCTACGGGGTTTTGGGTTGAGGCTGTTCACACGATTGTCTACTTGATAAATAGACAGATCACTCCTATGCTCAACAATCGTTCCCCATATCAGGTTTTGTATTCTCGATCTCCAGATTATTCTCATCCGCGAGTATTTGGTTGCACTTGTTTTGTGTTATTGCAAAGGAAAGAACGCCACAAGTTAGCTCCAAAGGTAGTGCGTTGTGTTTTTGTTGGATACAGTGATAAGCACAAAGGCTATATGTGTTATATGATCCAGTTAATCGCAGGATGAGGATTGCTTATCATGTTCGTTTTATGGAACGAAGTATGTACTATCACTCGTCCCCGGCTGAAGCTAGCACCCCACAGGCACTAGAGGTTTTCACTTCGTGGCCCGACTTTGACGTTCCTATCTCTGTCTCGTCTTAGTTCATGGCAGAGTCCTCTCAATCTTCCTCTAACAGCTCAACTGAATCGGGCTCCCCTACAGTCTCCACTTCATCTAGTTCGGCGAGTACATCGCCCTCTTCCCCATGTCCCTCGATGTCTGCTCTCCGTCACCGATCCAGCCTCAGCTTCCTCTCCGTCGGTCCTATCGTGCTAATCTCGGTCAACCTCCGCTGCGCATGCAAGATGTTGTGGGGTTCTCCACGGAACCTATCTTCGTACCTACTAGCTTTTCTCAAGCGGTAGGTGATCCTAGATGGAACGCTGCCATGCGAGTTGAAATGGATGCTCTGGAAGCTAATGGCACTTGGGAGCTGGTTCCACGTTAGAATTGGATGACTGTCATTGGTAGTAAATGGGTTTATGCTATTAAGGTGCATCCGGATGGTTCTATGGAGAGGTTTAAGGCACGAGTGGTAGCTTAGGGATTTAAACAGGAATATGGTATTGACTTTGAGGAGACGTTTGCTCCGGTGGTGAAAATGCAGACAGTGCGGTGTGTATTTGCAGTAGCATCAATGAACCGGATGGCCTCTATTTCAGTTAGATGTGAAGAATGCTTTTCTTCACGGTGATCTCAAGGAGACTATCTATATGGAGCGCCCTCCTGGGTACGATAAAGGTGATTCAACGATGGTCTGCAGGTTGATTCGATCTTTATATGGTTTGAAACAAGCACCGCAAGCATGGTTCGAAAAATTCAATCATTGTGCATGCTGGCTTCACGCAAAGCCAGAATGAACCATCTCTCTTTACGAGGGCTACAGTGGACGGTATTGTTGTCCTGTTAATATAGGTTGATGACATGATTATCACAGGTAGTGATGCAGACGGGATTCGAGCGGTTACGGAGGTTTTGCGAGAATATTTCACTTGAAAGAGTCTCGTATTTCTTGGGTTTCGATCTCCGCAGGGTCTTTTTGTGTCACAGCGCAAGTATATTATGGATCTACTGACGTCTTCTGGCTTTGCTGACTGCGTTCCATGCTCTACTCCTATGGAGCAAAATCTGAAGCTCAGCCGTTAGGTGGGGGAAGTGAAGGAAGATCAATCTATGTATCGTAGTCTGGTCGGGTACTCGACCGGATATTGCATATGCACTTCAGGTAGTGAGCCAGTTCATGGGTGTAGCAACAAATGTGCACTTGGCAGCAGTGCATAGGCTTATCCGATATCTAAACCAGACTCAGGATGTGGGGATTTTCTTTCCCGCGCAAAAGGCGATTCTACTATTGAAGCATTTGCAGATGCAGATTATGCAGGATGCATTGATACGAGCAATAACTAAGAAATTATAGAAGTTTATATAAGTATTTTACACAGCTAAGTCGATGAGTTATTATATTTCAACTAAATCATTACATGAGTGAATGAAATTTTAAATTTAATTAGTTTTGTAACGCGATGAAGTGCGGGCCAATTCTCTAGTATTTATCTTAAATGATGTGATTTATAATTGAAACTCTTTCAATAACTCAAATTATTGAGACCAACTAATTGCAAAGAACAAGTAATTCTTTACTGGCAATTCAACAGACCAGAGGAAGAAGGATGACAATACAAATTTTTATTGATTCAAATAAAGAAAACGAAAAATGGAAATGATTTCAACAGTGGTGATAACCGTCCAGGAAAGGAAAGGAAAGGAAAGGAAGAAGGAAACAACAACGTAACATGCAACAAATTAAAAGAGGACCCGCCACAAGTCAACACAAGCAAGAAGAAGAAAAGCAAAAAACAAAAGATCGATGAGCAGAGTACGTAGTAGCGCATTATTATTCGAACATATTTAATGGTTCTTCAAACTAAAGGGGCACAGGATCGAAGAGCAGTGAGGTGAGTTCATCCTTCATGAGGCGGGAGTCGGTGTAGCCGTCACCATTCTCATAGAACAAGTTGCAGGAACGCGCCAAATTGAGGATACGATCCATAAGAACTACCGGCAACGGAGTTGGTTTCTGATACTCTTGGGCAATATCTTTCCAAGCGTTGCGAATCTTCTTCCACAGGAACTCGACTGCTTCTTCTTCCGTCGCTCCGTGGTGCTTCATGTAGCATTCTACGCCTGAAGCCGGATGGTTTCTCTTCTGCTCATACTGCATATATATATAATATCATTGGCGGATCCAGGGGGTGGCCACCCCAGGCCCCGGCCCAGCCCTCCTCTAGATCCGGAGTTAGAATAATCCTTATGAATTTGTCGATTTTAGTCATTCAGTCCAGTGTTATTTTATAATACGATTGTGTATAACTAGAAAAATTATTCAAAATAACATATTCGAATCACTACTCTAAATTTAGCATAGAAATTCTAGCCTCAAAGGTTTTTCGTCTAAAAAAACAATGAAAACTAAAAAAATTATGAAGTCTAAAGCGTAAAAGACTAAAAGAAATATGAGGTTTGTTCCCTTGAAAATTTACTAGAGCAACATGGTGGATATAGGCATGGACACATAGTGCAAATATATTGACTAGCTAGTCAATTGATTTGTTTAGTGTTGAATGTTGATACTGCTCGTTTCAACAGCTACCACGAAGAGAACATTTTCAACAATGAAACATGTGAAAACAGATTTGCGCAACAAAATGAGCGATGAATTTCTCGCTGATTGCTCAAGTATTTTATTTGAAACATAGTTGGTATGTATGTAAACTCAATTACCGATGCATTCGCTAAATTAAAAGGTCGTCGTGTACAATTGACATTGTAAAAAATTATAATCATATTTTTTTACGATATATAATTTTCTAATGGAATGCGGCCCAGTACTCTACTGTGTTCTGGATCCGCCGCTGTATAATATGTGCAATTAAAACCACATGATAGAGGAAAGTACGTACGTAGTTACTAGCTAGCTAGCTATGAGATCGATCGATGCACTCGATCTGCCGGTACTTTATAGCAGTTTGTTCGTGCAACTATATACAAGACAAGATGCACATAACTAGTAATTACGTACCTCGTGAGAGAAAATGTCATTTTGAAGCCTACCAATTACAGAGCAGGCTTTCATCAGTTTGGATTCGTTAGTCACCCATTCAAAAGCCTCCCTGGTGGCTATTTCTGCTCCCATGCCAATGAAATTAGAGGTGCAAGTTTTTGGCACACCGGAGCTGTTGTATCCGTTGATAATGTACTCTTCCACGGTTGGAAGCTTGCTTTCAACGCGCCACCCAAGATCAACTAAGTAGGCTCGGCACAATTTCTTGAGCTACCACAACCATGTGCATATATAATAATTATAACCATCAATTAATTAACCGAAATGTGAAGTATGGTAATGCTACTATATTTTAATGCTATTTATTACTGTATTACCTCGCCCTTAGCATAATCGATGGAGAAAGTGGGTCCCGTCTTTCCAATTTCCCTCTCCAATTCATCATACAGATCAAGAACGAGACGATAAGTATTCCTCATCCTATCAGGCAGTTCTTCAAGAGCCCCAACATTCATTCTGAAACAAATACGTATGTACATACAAACACCAACAAAATACATTATTAAGAAAAAGTGCAAGCTCCATTATATCAATGAATCAATCATATACATATAATATAATATAATAGTTATGCGGTAATTAGAACCTTTCAATAGCTTCTGATAGGGCCAAAAGCTCTTCATATGTAGCAAAGTTATCACACGTGTCATCCAAGATTGACAACGTATGATACACCTTGGTGCTTATCATTCTTGCCAATCGATGTTTGGGCTCAAAATAAACACAAACCATCCAGTAATAACACTCTACAAGTCTGTCTCTTACAAATGGAAAACTGGACGCCAGATGAAAACTTCTCCACCAGCTGTATGCATATAAGACAAAATCAACCCAAACAAGCAATTAATCAAGGTGATTAATTAGTAGTATTGCGTAATATATATAATATGAGCTAGCTAGCATTATAACTCACCCAGAGATTTCATAGAGCTCTTGCTGATGCAAGTTCTGGACTATGTTGAAGTCCATCTTTGCAAATGTGAGAAGTTTTTGATTCTGCGAAGCATCCTCGGAATAGAAATCTATGGAGTGCCTAGCAAGTGATCTTGGGACACATTTCCAAGCAGGAAAGCGAAGAGCAAAGTCGATTTGCTTTTGGAGTGAAATAGTGTCGGCCTTGTGTGGGTGGATAGACGACGATTTAAGATTCTTCGTCGCAAAATTCAGGGCTTCTTCCAATATGTCTTCTCCATTGAATGCCAAGTGTGATGCTTCGTACAAGCTCAACAGTCCTTGTCTATCCCTCGACACCCATTCCTTGAACTTCCCTTCATTGTTCTTCAACTTTCTAAACCCATCTACTCGTGTTTGTGTGTGTACATATAATAAATGATCATTGAGAATATTAATTGATCAATGTATGTATATACATAAAGAGAGGCCTTAACCAGCTAGCTGGTTATCGAGTACAACTAATAAATCTACTGTATATACATGAATACGTACCCTGCGAAGTAGGAAATCCTTGTTGCCTGAGGAGTCGAAATCGAAGAGCTGCATGGTGGAGATCTGTGCCTTTGTAATCCATGTTGGTAAATAGGTCTTCTCCCATATCATGTACTTTTTCAAGTGATTTTTCAATCTCCAACTCAAAATGATACCCAATACCTAATCGTTGAACTGTATCTACCAACCGCAGCTTGTCGGCGATTATTGCCTCTTCATCTCCAGTACTACTTTTGACTTCATTTGTCAACATCTTCCTCACTTCTTCTTTCAGGACTTCATGGTTTGGGTATCTTTCCTTCGCCTGAGAATCAGTGGATTTAAGATTATTTTTGGGTCTAAATTGTTTGTTATTCTTGTTAATTGAATTATCTCACAAGTTATTCAAAGTCAAGAAAAACATGCATGGGTGAGAGATCTGTGCCGCACATATAGTAATTAATTAGGAAATAAAACAGCTACTTATTAATAAAACTCACATATGACATAACTAATTAATTAACCTGGAATGACAGATCAACTTTGTCGAGGAAGCCATCACCCCAGACTGTGCGAGGGAAGCTTACTGACGAGACACAATCCGCCGCTGCTGCGCCGGAGGTTGCCTTCTTCTGATGGACCACCGCCGCCGCCGCTGCAGCTGACTGAAGTGGTAGTGATGATGAAGAAGACATAATAAGATTAGTAATGTTAGCAGTAGCAGTAGCAGTAATAATGATGATAATGGTAATGTATATGATTGGGCTGTTATAGTTTCAACTCGATCTATATATAGCAAAGCCTAGGATTGGATTTGTAAGGAAGACCACCGGCCACTACTCACATATGAATATGATAATGTATTTAAGAAAAGCACGTATTACAATGAAATAATTATTTAATTAATTATATAAGGTTATTAATCAAAATAAACAGTAACCCTCCTAACCCATACCATGGCCATGAATGATAATGGGTTAGCTTGTAACATAATTTGAAATAATCAAAATAAATAAGAAAGGTTAGGTATAAAAATAACAATGGATCTAGAACAAACAACAGATCGGAGTAATATAATATATCCAGAAATGACGGGTCTAAAACAAATCGGGTAACATACCACTAGTCTAGAACTTGGAGGTCCCAGGTTCAAATCCCTTAAGTAGTACCTTAACCAAAAAAAGAAATCTATATCACTCTTATAAAAAAACAAACTTTAATATCCAAAAACGAAAATGGATCCATATTCTGAATTTCCAAATTTAGAATAATGACAACGGATCTAGACCAAGTATTCGATAATATAATACCCAAAAATGGGAATGGGTCCATCCTTGATTTTCCCAATTTTGGCACATGTTTTGTGGCAGAATTCGATCAGTGGGTTTGTGGCAGTCGACAAAATAAACAGCACTGCTTATTGCCTAATTTCATTTGCGGAGCATCCAACGTTGGTGAATTAATGCATCAAAATCCTTATACGTGATTGATAAAAAATAATTATTAACAAAAGAACAAACAGAAACATGGTTCAGTGATCCGCAATTAGGGCGGCAAACGAGCCGAGTAGAGTCGAGTTTTTGCTTAGTTTGAGCTCGGCTCGTTTATAAAAATTTCAGCTCGAGCTCGGCTCGAACTCGAATTTTCATAATCCAGCTCGAGCTCGGCTCGATTAAAAATAATCTAGCTCAAGCTCGACTCTAGATGAGCTCGATTTGAAATCATTATTGTTGAAAAATGTGTACAGGTACGAGTTTAAATGATAAAAAGAACACTAGAAACTTTCATGCATATCCGTATTAACAAGATAATGTTCATGTTTAAAAGAGTAATTAATCCTTTCACAAACTCTAAACAAGTCAGCTCGCGAGCTTAACTCAATAAGCCACTGAGTCAAGCTAGCTCACGAGCTTTTCAAGTCGAGCGTGATCTAGCTCAAGCTTGGCTCGTTAACTGACGAGTTGGCTCGCGAGCCGGCTTGTTTAATAACGAGCCAAGTGTCGAACGAGTTTTTCCCGATTCGATCGCCGAATTGCTCGCGAGCGTCTTGGCTCATTTGCAACCCTACGGCCCCCTACCCGCAATCCAGTGACCGAGTCTGAGTGGGAAATTAACTTTTCCCAATTAATGTTAATGGACTATATTTTTTTGGTTTTAAATGATAATTTAAAAAATTAAAGATAAATCAGATGTTAATGGGTTAATTAGTCTAGGATTTAATATGTTAGTGCAGGGGCGGACCTATGTAATAGGGTGGTGTGTCAATTGACACACCTCCAAAAAAAAGTTCGATAAAAAAGTAAGGTTCGTCGGTACTAAAATTCAAACACTAGACCTCTTGACACAGCTCTATAGTAGACTCATAATCATTCCATCAGATTAGGAACATATTATTGTTATAACTTTGCTAAAGAACGTATTGTATACGGAAATTTATTAATGTGTAAATAATTTCCTTATACGGAAAGTTTATTGAATCCCCAACCCAATTCCAATTTTGATTGGAATAGAGCTAATATCCTTATAAAAGAAACCCTATATATACCTATCTCGATTACAATTTATAAACGAAACCAAAAACTCTCTCACATGCACAAGACAATCCCTCTTCCTTTCTCTTCTCACACCGCCGGCAAAGTAAGCGGCTACATTTATCATGTCAAGCAAGATGAGACCTTCAAGGGACTGTGAGGAATCGATGAGCTAGTTAGGCGAATGGTGGAGACAAGACAAGATACTACTTGTCCATTGGTGTACTTGATGTTGAAGTTTGTGTTGACTTTACCTGTTGCGACTGCAAGCTGTGAAAAGACATTTTCAGCTATGAAGTTTATCAAGAACGATCTTCGGAACCGGATGAGAGATCAATTTCTGAATGATTGCTTGGTTGCATTTATTGAAAAAGGTTTGAGTAATAGAATAAGCGATGAATGTATTTACAAACCTTTCAGAGTATGAAAAGCAGTCGTGGCTCATTGTAAAAAATGAGAACTTTTATAATTTATGAATTATTTTTATTTTTATTATATTAAACCATCTCTCTAAGAATCCTGGGTCCGCCATTGTTAGTGGATTATTAGGTTATAGGTAGTAATTGTGTTGGCTTAGTAGGTCTAATTAGGAGTCTACTTTAGTTGGCCGAGTTGTCTAGGATAAATAGTAGGGTTTAGTATATGTTAGTGGGGTTTTAGGTTAGTAGGTAGTAATTGCACGGGCTTAGTAAGTCGAATTAGGAGTCTACTTTAGTTGGCCAAGTTTAGTCATATTTATACTGATTACCCTCCTTAATCGGTTTAGAAGATGTCATCGCCACACTCTTTCATACTTAATCAAATTTTATCCCACGGTATTGTATCAGAGGTATGTTTATTATCCTATCTTATCACACTAGAAGTAAGCTGAGTATCACCCATAATCACACCAGGAGAGGGTGCTCCAACCATAGCCAAATTTTAATTTTGGTGTAAACAAAAATTAAGATATACAAAGAATGGTTAGGTATAAAAATGATAACGGATCTAGAAACAGAACAGATTGGATAATATAACATCCAAAAATAGCAATGGATATTATCTCTTGATTTTCCCAATTTTGGCACATGATTTCTGGCGGAACTCGATTAGCGGGTGGTGCAGGGCAGGCAGTCGACAAAATCAACAGTAGTGCATGTGCTAATCTTTGCGCGACATATACTGCTTAATTTCATCTGAGGGGAGCATCCAAATGTTCGCAAATGGGAGCCCATTTTCCCATTCTCGAATCTCTAGGGAGATGCATCATGCATATATGGAAATCCTTGCACGTAACGTAATTGATAAAATAATTAACAAAAGAGAACAAACAGAAAGAAGGCTCAATGTAGGGTTGACCCACAATCCATTGACTGAGTGGGTTACGGTGGAAAAAATTCCACAACTTCTAATAAACGTTCCGTGACGGATCTAGAAACTACATCAAGGATATTCAACGATAAACCAAAATTAACAAGGGTTGTCAAATAATTTTATGTTCAAATACTATCAACACTAAAATAAAATTTTACAAAGAAATTTTCTCCCCAAATTAGATCAAAGTTTGTCAATTGACAAACCATTGGCTAACCTAGGTCCGCCTCTGCAAATGTTCAACTACTCTCCCAACTTTCATAAATCGAAAAATTTCATGTTGGCCGAAAAAGTCATCGGAAAAGACTAAAATTGTCGAAATTATTGTCAGTTTTCCATCCTAATGCCTCATTAGTCATCACCAACAATGTATTTTCAAGATCTGTCACAGTATTATTTTTCCCAACAAATATATGATATGACATAATAAATAAATTAATTAAAAGCCCAAGCAACCTACACTGTTGCATACGAAGGCGGGAATTAATTTTTGTTCCAAAGTTACTGTTCACCCAGGGGAGCTATCCCATACATCAAATTGTATTGTAAGTTTTTTTTTTGAAACCGCAAGCTTTTTGTTATTGTTTCCTAACTTGATTTTATTTATTTTATTATTAGACCACACATTATGAAAAATTTAAGTAGAACTATTATAATTTTTACAATCTCATCAATTTTTATTACTCAAAGGTTCCGTATATTAGTCAACTTTACATAATAGTAACCAAAGAAGCTTTTCATAACTTGATGTTATTATTAGACCAAAATTGCAAAGGATTTATGTAACATTGTTCTATGCTTTTTTTATTGCTTCCTAACTTGATTTTATTTTTAAAACACACATTATGAAAGATTTATGTAACACTATTATAAATTTCACAATCTCATAAATTTTTACTACAAAGGTTCCGTATATTAGTCAACTTTACATAATAGCAACCAATGAGACTTTTCATAACTTGATTTTATTATTAGACCAAAATTTCAAAGGATTTATGTACCATTGTTCTATCTTAAGTTATCAATGCATGACGTAAAAATTAATAGAGGAATAGTTATTTCTACCGGGGATAATGATTTATTATGTATCAATTAAAAAATAATTATATTCGTCCTCCATAATATGAATGTGAAAATTTCATTTACTATCAATTAAGCAGTTGACTAACTCATAAATTTGTATTGTACAAACTACAAAGGTTCTCTAAAGTAATTTATT